CTTTCCACGGAGGCTTTCGGCGAACGAAACAAACCCGGGGCAGCGCTGAGGGCAAGTGAGGAGTCGGCAGCGGTTCCCTCTTCGTTTCCGGGAGGGGCTTCTGGCGGCGTCCCCTCACTGGGGTTTTTTAGCTGTCATCTCTCGCTGTGGAGACTTCCACAGAGGCAACTCTGCCAAGTTGAATGATGATCGTGCTGGTGACTCACCTGAAAGGTACCTGGCAGGTTGGATATGGCACCTCCTGAACGTACCACTACCGTGTGAAAGAGGCACATGCCTTCCTGCGCTCCCATTGCCAAACTGGAAAAGAGAAATTTTGCACTCTCCATCCTTATCACAGTTCACCAGAAAACTTTGTTATACATTGTCATTAATGTTTTTTATTGCTTGTAGTCTAGAGCTATTCAGAGGCAGATGTCTTTAATGTGAATAATGCATTTTGCAGAAGTGAACTATTTAACAAGTTGTTTTTATTGTCTTCCTCACTGTTTACAGACTGCATTTGTCACTGTAAAGGTGTTTCCCAGAGCGTTCTTCCATCAACCTTTTTTTCTCTGATGGCAGATTTAACACATAAGTGAATGTTAGGAAACATTTCAAGTTTGTGGTGAACAAGAAATGCCCAGAACACAAACATAAGATATTGAACTGCCCTATAAAACTTGACACTATGATTTTGCATACAAGAAGTACTCTAGCAATTTGATTTGTTTCTTTGAGTGAGTAGTCTGTAAGCTGTTAGTAGTTCTTTTGTAGAGAAGAATGTTGTTTTATAGACAAACCCTATGTAAACAAAACTATTTATTTCTCTTTTCAGATCTGCCTGGACTGCAGTGTACACAGTACATTGAAGGGCTGCACAGGGAAGCACAACAAGCTCTAAATGAGCATGTCAGACTCATTCACAGAGGTGATGAAACCAGATTTGCCAAGCTGAATGTTGTTCTGTCCTTGTTAAGGTCTATAAATGCCAATGTGATTGCCGAACTCTTCTTTAGACCCATCATTGGAGCAGTGAACATGGATGACATGCTTTTGGAAATGCTTTGTGCAAAATTATAAAGCTGTGTCAAATAATGCAAATAAATCCAATGCAAAGGAAGCCCTAGAGCAGAGTAGTGCAAAGTACTGTAAATAAACTAACTTATTGTTTTTACATAGATCATATTTTTGTATTCCATAATAAAATACTGTTCGAGTTCTGAAATTAATTTTTATTCAACACAGTGTTTTTGAAATAAGATCACAGTCATCCAAACAAGTGTTAAGGTGGAGAATGTTCATATGGAAAGTTCACTGGCTCTGTCTGAATAAAGATCACATTTACTATGTTGTATTTCCAAGGTGAGTAATCCCTTCTTTTTCAAAGTAAGTATCAGTCTGGATTTGCATTTTAAACATAGCATACGGAAGGGGGAATGAACAGGCCATTTAACTGGTATATTTCAGTAATAGTAGAACAGGGTACTGTGGTAAGTTCTGCTCATAGTTCAAATACTGTTTCTATCAAAAGGCTTATTACAGTCAGGGAACTATTTCTATTGACTTTAACAGAGTTGAAGTCTATAAAAGAAAATATTCACCAGAGACTTTCTTCTATATGCGGAAAATGGCTGAGGAGTATTTTGAGACTTAAGGTAGCTTGGACAACTCTGACACTTGTAGGAAAACGTTCAATCCAAAACATGTTTGGCTCCACGCAAGTAAAGTAAATCTTATTTCCCAAAACAAAGGCAAACAAAAACACCTCTGAAAATAGCCAAACAGTGAATGTTGAGCACAGTCAGTAGAACTTGTGTACTCTTTGCTTCTCACCTAGATAACTGGTAGCTAGGACTTCAAAAGCCAGATTACTCAAACTACTTATTCATACAGAAATAGACAATTACTACACTGAAACATGATGCACCACTGGTACCTCCATCAGAATTTGTCAGCTAACATGCACATATCTTAATTAGACATCAGGCTTACACATTCTCCATGTTCTTTTCTTTGTTTGTTTGGTTTTTGTCTTGGACTTGATCCCTTCTCCCAGAGAACTTGTGCTGTTATTGGAAAGAAACCTTTTAAAGGGGAAAATTGGTGATGAAAGGATTTGTTTTATAGTTTTCCTTTCTCTGTGTCCAGTTTTCTAGCCGTGGAGAATATGGGTAAAAAAATGGAGAGAGAAGTGTGACAGTTCCTGAAGTAAGATACCTGCAGCTCTGTGTATCATTAGCAATAGGAGGTATTTTTTAAAAAGCAGTGAAGTTGAGGCAGTTACTCTGTGCAGGGGAGGGGAGTGTTTGAAGAGCTTTCTTCTGCTGCCACCTTGCGCAAAGGATGATCATGGCTCCTATGCTCGGGTAAGGAGCAGGGGAGGCTTTTGTTGTCTTGTACCTGCTTGGATAAAACTTACAGAAAGTGGAAATTGCCAGAGAGGTAGGAGAACATTCCTAGGGGATAAGTTAGTCCATAAGTAGTATTACAGAGATTTGTATTGCCATGGCAGTAAGAATCTCATCATCGGCTAATTTACAGTCACAGAGCAAGAAACAGCCCTTACACTGAAAAGTAATGAGGTAGCTTAAATGCACATTTCTGGTGCTCATATCTGAGTAGGGTTATGTACCCTGAGGAGCTCCTCAAGAATTCCAAACAACAAAAGATAGGTAAGTAAAGTGCTCTTCACTATCAGTTCTGACTAGACCAGTTCAGACTATAATACAGAAAGCTTAGTTTTTATGTTGATGCTTTTGTACGTACATACACACGCATGTAAACATATATAGCAAATACAAACATGTACATATGGATAATGTTTACTGTGTATATATAAATGTTGAGTTTACAGTAGCTTCTGAGCTTCTCTAACATATCTGTAACATAAATTTGTGTATATGTTTCCCTCTTTCTCTGTAAACAGCATATGACCTTACAATTAGCTAGCTTTCAAGGATGCCTGACAAAGAAATCTCTTCAGAAAAACACAAAGTATAATGATCAAACATTTAAATAGCAGTTAGTGGCAGGTGATGAATCTTGGATAAGGACTAAAAAAAATTCAGCAGCTTCTGATTAAAACAGCTTCATCACCACTGAGGAGTTGTTAATATGCACGATAGCATTCAGACTTTTTTGCTGAGTGGTGGAGGAGACTCATTGGCAGAGCTCCTAAGAATGAATTGTAATAGCTGAACCTTGGTCACAGGCAAGGATTTTCAGCTGAGCAGTCACCTTGAGGCAGTTTGAATCTATTGTGCCACTAAATACTGAAGTTTTCATTACTCGGGTGAACCTGCTTGTGTCTCCAGATTTGACATCTGAACAAATCCTGTATTCTGCTCATGTTTTCTAAAGTTGTCAAAAGTACTGCTTCTGTGCACAGTGAATCTGCCTTGAACTCGATGTACTCTTTATCATATTTCTCTTGGACCAGCTCCACTGTTAATCTTTTAGCTGTTGTTTATTCAAATGGAAGCACCTGGGAACAATAAGTAGGAAATCTGGGTGAGAAAACCAATTTATCCAGAAAGTAGTGGCAGCTATGCAGATTCGGGGAGCAAGCTGCTCAGTCTTTGTCTATGAGCACGTGTTGCTTGGAGAAGTCAGTAAAACGACTCTTGCCTCAGGCGTTTGACCCTGGCTCCTCTATGGCAGTTTGTTTCTGGGTAGAAGTAGTGAGCTAGTTCCTTTTCTGCCCAAATCCATCCTGTGCAGGGTGGGGAGGTGAACTGGATAGTCCCCCTGGTTGTGGCTGCTGCTGTGACCCAGGAGGTGATGTCTCGGTATCCCTGGCAGCAGGGGTAGGACAGCCTGCCGGAGGCCTCGGACGGGCCGGGGAGAAGGGAAGGCTGGGCACAGGAGAAAGATGCCTCAATGATAATGTAGCCTTAACCAGAAGACCCTCTCACGGCTTCAGGTGCCTCAAGGGGTGACGGGTGAGAGCTGTTTGTCATCTGTGGGATTCCTGAGGAGATAAAAACCTGTTTCCAGCCCCATCTGCCGCCCAGCTGAGCCGTGCTGTGCTCCGAGGGCTTCTGCGCACCCTGTTAGGTGTGCCGGCAAAGATTGTTTTCCAGTTGAGGCATTAACACAACTTCTGAGGATTTTTAAGCATTTTGTTTGCTCTTTATCCTTGGCATGAATCTTCTCACGAGCACTTTTTTTCAGCCCTTCAGGATGTTAGAGAGGTTTTAGCTGAGAGCAGCCCACAGAGCAGTTTAACGGGGCGATCCCCGCAGTGAGGGTCTCAGGCAGAGCGGAGCCATGCTGCACATAGAGCCGCTCCCACCCGCCTCAGCGCGGGTGCCCGCTGCTTGTGCGCAGGGCTGTGGCACCAGCAGTCCAGACACCAGCTTCTAATCACAAAGTGCCATTCAGTGGCAATTACTGCTGCACGAGACATCCTTTTCTCTGAAGCAGCCTGAGAAAGGATCATTTAGAAACCAACTAGCATTTTCAGTCAATATGGCTATGCGTGTTTCTTTTAGAAAAGAAAAAGCGTGGTATTTATTTGTAACCTTACTTTTCCAAGTTCAGTATATGATTTTTGTTTGGGTAGTCTTTCTATTAGTTTATTTTAAACTTTGCAGCAGTTTGCTGTTGTGGATAGGCTATAAATACTGTTAATGTCTAATAAATAGTAACTTTGCTCCCAAAGGTGTGGTTCTGCAACTTAAATTTTGTAGTTTTGAAGTGACCTCATATACTGGCTTAAAGTTATTATACTTTTAGTAATTTTCATTTCTCTTCAAAGACAGAACATATTCCTCTAGTGGATCTTCTGAGCATTGAAATATATGTCTGAAAATAATACAATAAAATTAAAATAAAAATGAAATAAGTCAGAAAGCCAAGTGGTCTTCTGTTTTTCCTTCACTGAAAAAAAAGTTCTGAATGGTGTAAGCAAACAACATGTCAAGACATTTTGAAATTTTGAGATGCAGCCTGAAATCTGCATACACATACTGCCTTAGCACTCTTAACATTTATTTTAAATTATGGAAGTCTAGCATTTTAAATCTGAAACGTACACAAGTAAGATTCAATAGCTGGAACAACTACAGATTGACAGAAGAGCTTTGGCAAAAATGTCCTTAAATTAACCACCACTGTGAGGTCACAGGGTGATAACTTGTTAGCTGGCACTGTATGCAAATCCACAAGTTGTTTTCATTTTTAACATAAATCAGTAGTCATTTCACTGCTTATGTCAGCAATAAAATTGGCCCAGCTTCTTTTAAACTTTCACACCATGCCTAGGTGTAGGTAAACCCTCACACAAGTGTTTATACAAGCACAAATGATCTACAGACACCTTTTCTTCTCTGTGTACTTATGTTCTTTACTTATTTTATATAAGGAAAATTACACTAGTTTCAGGTTCAGAAAAAAAGAACTTGTCCTTTCATTTTATATTACCACTCCCCAGCTTGCCACATAAGATGAGTTGTTAGCTTGCTTAAACTGAGCTGTCTGAAAATTTGCTATCCAGTGCAGTAGGGGCCTCTAGGCTCTGTCTGGATTGGATGGTGAGGCCCAGGTACCTCCAGATGGCGTTTGATCCCAGCATACCTGGTTTAGGTGGAACCATTGACTCGTACTTTGCAGAATAAGGCTAGAGGCAGGTTATACACTGAACTGTCAATCACAACAGTTTGATAAAGTGAAACTTGGAACCTTTGGAGTCACCCTCACTTCTGGCAAAGCATTAGCCATCTCCTCTCAGCTGAGACTGTAGCCCAGCTTCTCACATACACGTACGTGTCTTTGCACACATACAGATACAAAGCAAAATATAGAGGGACAATTAATTTCTTCTTTTTTTAGTGGGGCTGGGTTAAGAGAAAAAAAGAAGTCAGTTAAGCCTGCAAGGATAAATGAGAGTTATTAAGAAATGAAACTTTTATACATGTAACTGTTCATGCTAGGAGCTAGCAGGCTTGCTGCTCCAGGTTTTAAATACACAACTAATAACTGTAATCTTTAAATAAGAATTAGCTAAAGAAAAATTGATTTCCCAAGGAGAGAATCCAGTCTATTTTGTCTTAGTTGATAGATCTTTTTCTTATTTTGAAACAGCAATGAACGGTTAGGACTGAGAGACCAAATGACCAAAATGATCAATACAAGAATGAGGATGCTCCTCTTCCTCTTCCTCTTCCTCTTCCTCTTCCTCTTCCTCTTCCTCTCCCTCTCCCTCTCCCTCTCCCTCTCCCTCTCCCTCTCTCTCTTCTTTTTCCTTTCCCTCTTCCTCTCCCTCTTCTTCTTCTTTCCCTCTCCCTCTCCCTTTCCCTGTCCTTCCCTCCTCCTCCTTTTCCCATTTTCTCTTTATCAGGTTAGGA